TGGATGTAAATTTTACTTCTAGTGTTTTTTTACTACGTTAACGGTTTATAAATAGATCAGAAGTTTTCTCGAAAAAGAAAAAAACAAACGCTCTATAAATCGGAGGGAGTAGATCTAAACTTGAAGTACGAGCCAGCATGAAAACCGGAGCAGTGGCATTTGTTTAGCAAGAACAGACTGGCCGTGGCGACCTATGTTGTCCCCGCACTGTTTGATTAACCAACAGCGGCCGAATCTTAGGCTCCGTTCAGACGGATGGATATTTTAAAGTGTAGCGTCGTACTCCTCCTGACATGGTCATGGCACGCACCAAGGACAAGTTTTTCTAATATATTCTTCGAACCCCGTGGCCGTGACAGTTAAAAAATAAACACACCCAAGGGGAACAGTCCCATTGAAATTAAGGTTTTTCTACTTGTATTAGGGAGAGGAGGCATCCGAGAAGTTGCCAACTCGATCTCATCTCCATCTACGGAGGTACTGCTGCAAGACTAGCAACAGGTGAGAAACAAGGAAGAAACACAGAATGAAATAAAATGATGGTGGTGAGTCTGGTGACCATGCTTTTGTGCTCCAGCAAGTTACATGTAACCTTAGGATAAAGATCGATGAAGAATCTTGACCTGCTGGGGATTGGCTGCTCCAGTGCTAGTTACTGGCCTTAATTACGTAATCTTGAAATAGTCAAGGCACAGCTTGAGAGCAAGCTTGTAGACCATCCAAACAGGTCTACTATTAAGATTGAAGAACTAACTTGTTCGTCATATATTCTCTTCAACTTTCTTTTCTTTTCACCTACCACCGGCTCGATCCACTGTTTGCAATCTGACGTGTATTTGTCCATTTCTTTTGTACATGGGTTATGTTTTATAGGTCATAAATATGTATTTGGTCATTCACACCTCGCATTCTTGAGTGATAAGCTGATCGTCCCCTCACACAGTGTACGCAGTGCTGCTGTTCAGTGTACGCAGTGCTGCTGTTCTCCTCTTGCAATGTATTCTCCTCCTGCCTCTACATATTTCAGATCTGTGCATATAGTGGTGCTCATTTCACGATTTTACAGGTTAGGGCATCTCCAGCCGTTGGCCCCCCAGGGGGCGTCTAAAAGCGCCGCCTGGGGGTGAGCCGGCGAAAAAAAAGGCCCTGGGGGCGAGTCGTCGCCCAGCCGTCGACCCCTAGGGCCGTTAACAGGCGAGTGCAAAAAAAAATAGGGAGGGCCCGCTCGGCGAAGATATGACGAAGAACAGTTAAATTACGTCCGAACATGGCGAATTTCGGCCAAATTCGCCCATTTTCATTACATTATTGAAACCTAAGCTAATCTAAAAAAGAAATGCGCTGAATCGTCGGCGCCGTCGCTGCCATCGTCGTCGTCGGCCTTCTCCTCCTTGACGTGGACGCCCCGGCTGGACCCGACGTCGCCATGGTGGACTGGCGGCGGCGCGTCGTCGTCGTCGCTGTCACACAGGACGACGACTCCGCCTTCGTCGCGGCCGTGTCGTCGCTCCGCGAAGCGGCGCAGTTCGGGGCGCTGGCGCTCCTTCGCCTTCTCCCGGCGCGCCTTCTCCATCGCAATGGAGTCCTGGCGCGCCCATTCCAGGACCGCGTCGTCGTCGACGAGTTCCGCCGTCGCCAGCGCCAGGCCTGGCTCCGTCTTCACTGGCACCAGCCCCGGCTCCGTCTTCACCGGCGCCATTCCCGGCTCCGTCTTCGGCTTGACGAAGCGCGAAGGAACCGAGGACGAAGCGCGCCGGCCGCCCTCGTGGATGACGATGCCGGCGCTGCGATTGCGCCGACCGAGCGGCGACTCCGACGCAGGCTCGGCCTTGACGGCGAGCAGGGCCGGGGTTCCGGAGGAGTGTGAGGAGGATCGGGAGGATCGGAGGAGGAAGAGGAGGAGGCTGACCCGAACTGCCTTGGCGCCCATGCCCCGGCGCGCCGGTGCGTCGTCGGGGGGTATGCCAACGGTGGGTCGTTGCCGCCCTCGAGGTGCGTGAGCACGCCCTCGAGTGTGCGGCCGGGGACGCCCCACCAGAGGTGGCGCCCCCTCGCT